AAAGGGGCCAAAGTGTGCCCTTGTCCCTTACCAAGCCTTGGAAACTAGTCTAGATCCTTTCCTTGTTGTGCTTAGGACTTAAAACATCAAAAAGACCATAAACCATTTGGGTTTACGGCCGTAAACCCAAAGAGAAGTGGTCCAAGGACCGTAAACTCCACAAAGGAGTGAAATGGTGCCCTAATCTCTTCCTAAGGCTAAGACATGAAGTATGAATGCTTCTATTGACTTGTAAAGCTTCAAAACACAACATGGTCAAAGTACCATGAGTTTACGGCCGTAAACTCATGGGTTTACGACCATAAACTCAAGGGGTGATGGTCACAAAACCGTAAACTCCAAAGGAGTTTACCCTTGAACCCTAAACTCAAATGCAAGGTCCTACCACCCTTAGATGCAATCCTTAGGACTTATAGCACTTAAATAAAGTGTTTTACATGTCTTAGGATGTCTTAAACTTGGTTAATTAGTTGTTTAATGACTAAATGAATACATATATGTGTTATTATATGTTAACTAGGATCCTTGTGTGTGTTCAAGTCTTCACTTGACACTTAGCATCCTATACATTCCGTTCATCCAAACCACTCACTACAGGTGAGTTCATACCCCCTCAATTAACCTTTTAAATGATTTTAAATGCTTTTATGGGGGGGGGGGGGGAATACAAGTTGAACTATTATAGTTATTATATCAATCACATGTGATTAATAACTACCAAACAAGTGGATTTCTTACTTTTCAAACTGTGTTACCAAACTGTTTTACTTCAAACTGTCTTACAAACTCTTTTGCATACCAAATGCTTTTATCAAACTCTTTTAAACTTATATTCTGTTAAATGTGTATCTATATAGATATAGTTATATAAGTAGGATTTAAAGGACTTAGGACTGATAGCTCACCTTACTTCCTGTTCCTTGTTTGGTTGTGGACTTAGGGTATTCAGGTTATTTGTCCGAAGGTCGTTTGAATCCTAGTTATATATCATGTATATGTATATAGATATAAAGGTTCCTTCTTTCATTCAGATCAATACCTTTGGGTAGCAAGGGTATACAAACATGTTCATACATTCAAACAACATTTCTAGTAAGCTATAATAGGTATAGTTTAGGGAGATACTAATACTATCACTAGAACAATGAAACATACAATGAGTCAGTTCATTCATGAGTAATACATAGTGATGAGAAACAAACATAATACAGAGTGATGAGAAACAAACATAATACATAGTGATGAGAAACAAACATAATACATAGTGATGAGAAACAAACATAATATAGAGTGATGAGAAACAAACATAATACATAGTGATGAGAAACAAACATAATACAGAGTGATGAGAAACAAACATAATACATAGTGATGAGAAACAAACATAAAACATAGTGATGAGAAACAAACATAATACATAGTGATGAGAAACAAACATAATACAGAGTGATGAGAAACAAACATACAGGCTAGACAGAGAAAGAACACACAATACAGCTAGCACATACATTACATATACATAATACATTTATGTGAGCCACGTAACGGGACATGACACTACCTGTCATGACCGTTTTGTATCCAGAATCTCCTTAAGTGGGGAGCGTATGAGTTTGTGTATAGATCTATACTGGATTGACTATCCTACACCTTGCTGCTTGCTATAGTGGGACTTGCAAGTCTACGGGTGCCAAACGTCATTTCTTACGACGTCTTACATCGTCGTTTTTCTAGAGTCGGTAACAGGATACAGGCCGATCACATGGTACTTTAAATAACAATTGGTTTAAAGTAGTTAGTATAGCAGTAGTTACTTAATACAACACTACAGTACTATTTCATTTTCCCTTTACATTTACTTTGTGATATTCACACAATAAACAATAATGTAGAAACTATATTTTTGGTTAATGATAGTCAGATTTGGGAAAATACATACTCTTACAAGAGACACACACACAGACACTAGATGCCTTGGTAGAAGGCTACTTTTAGTAGGAAACATAGGGTTTTCTAGGAGAGTTCAAACAATTACAAACTTTTACAAACTTATACATTACATCTTACAAACACTTTCATACAAACACAGACACTAATATACTTATGATCTCACCAGCTTTAAAGCTGATAAACTCTTTCAAAATAACTTGTATTCTCAGGTCGCCAGTAGACAGGTACCGGTGCCAGGTTTTGAGAAGACGGAGCTCGTTCAAGACTCATCTTTTATTTTGATTCATATTTTTGGTGTCTATATAACTTGAAAGAACACACTTGTATGAAATTATATTATTAATGCAATGGATGATGTTGTTGCTTGTTTACTACTTTGCATTGTTGTGATACTGAACATGACGTCCTCCACCCCCGAACGTTTCCGCCGTTCCGGTTTTGGGGTGTGACAGAAAAAGAGATCGGAAGAAGAAGAGGCTAGCCGAGGAAAGCGGCCATCTGAGGAGAAGGCAGAAACATACGAGGCAGTAGAAGAAGCTGAGGAAGGAGCTCTAGTTTGGTGCCGACAACTATATTATTATTTACGAGGAGAAAGAAGAATGGGAAAAATATTGATCATAATGAAGGCATCTCCGACGACTATTAGAGAAGGTCGTCGTAGGTGGAGGGCGACGGTTGTGAGTTGTGGTAAGCAGTAGGGTTTTAACCTAGAGCTCCGATGCCATGTTATATTTTAGAATGCTTTGATATTGCTCCGTCATTATAAGGATTTAACCTCATGTCTATAGAAATATAAAATGGGTTCTGGATGTAACCTAAACCCTAATGAGTATTAGCCTAACCCTAATCACTAACATATCCTAATGCCCCATCACCCCTATATCTATCGCACCAAATGCATAGTTAAGCCAAATGCTCTCGTGATTATTGTAGGCATCATTTTCTTTCGTGTTCACCTCCATCATATTCTTTAAATTATATTTCCCACTTCCAATTAACTCATTGTTTATGTAAATTTCAATTTCCCTTGTTTTGTTCCATAGATCTTTCACCTGTGCCTTGCCCCCATCTTCTGACATACTTCCTTGAAATGGGCTGCATGGTGTAACTTCAAGTTTTACGACATGACCAGGGGTTGTAACAACCACTCCAACACCTGTAAAATCACCATGAACGATGTAATTGATAAACTCTTAATAATATACAATCATATACTTTATGATTAATCGACTTTAGGAAAAGGGTTCCAAAATCCAAACCCCAAAGATTTATACGCCTCCACCCCTGTATTTCTATCCTACCACAAACACATGTATCGAGACTAAATACCCTTTTTTGTTCCTAATCCCCATTTTAGTCTTCCTTAACGCCATCACATCCTCTCATTTGGATTTTGTGGGGTGCCAGACATGATTAACCCCACCATAATATTAGCCTCACCATTTTCATGCTACTGTCTTCATCATTTCGCTCGATCAACATCGTCGGACAGCCACTATTTCATCAACTTCATGCTGCCATATCAGATCCAACAATACCACCATCTATTGATTGCAAGAGGGAAGAGGGAAAACCGATCTGCCACTTTATGTTACTTACACTCCTTCTCACTAGTTTTATGTTAAGAATACCGAACATGAAGAACTTAGAGAGATACACATGACTTAGGAAAAAACACGTGCAAATGGAAGGGCAAAAGGTACTTTTAAATTGGAGTTAACCATAAACATTAACGGTGTTAGAGAAAATGACCGGTGGTGAAACATTTCAAAATCTTAAGGGTGATCCATATTCAACTCCTCAATAAGACTACCGATGATATTTTTTGCGAACCACAAGGACCATTTATGTAATTTATCTAATTACAATAAATATGAGATTACATGGTGTAAAGAGGATACAAAAGTGGGCCAAATATGACCCAATACATACAATACAGTAATTGGGACGAGATACTTGGTTCGCTCGATCAACATTGTTCGTCTAATTTGTTTAAGTTGTTTACATAATACCATTATCTCTGAAATCGAGATACTTGGTTCAATCGGACACAAGAACATTGTTTTTTTCTTAGGGCGGGGTTCGAAGCAGACGATTAAACTTCTGTTTTACGATTATTATCCTAATGGAAGCTTCAACTCACTTCTCCATGGTGCATGGACTAGGAAACGAGGAGTAAAGTAGGAGACTATGTACGAGGTTATACTAGGCATGGCTCATGCTCTCGCGTATCTACGTCATGACTGTGTGCTCATAGAGATGTGAAAGCCATGAATGTGTTATTGGGTCCGAATCTACAACCATACCATGGTGATTTTAGGCTGGTTAGACTTGTTACGAAAGACCAAAACTAGAAACCACAGTCGGCTCCCACTCTCCCACTTATTAAACCTCGTACCTAGTCTCCCACTATGATCCTCGTTTCCCAGTCCCAAAACAATGAAGGAGTGAGCTCAAGCTTCCATTAGGATAATAATCATAAAGCAAAAGTTTAATCGTTTGGTTCGAACCCCACCCTAAGAAACAAATGATGTTCTTGTGTCAAATGGAACCAAGTGTCTCGATTTCAAAAACAATGGTATTATATGAATAGCTTTAACAATTTGGATGGTCGAATGTGAACAACCAAAGAAATTGCCTAGATGTGAAAAAAACCAATAGTTCATTACCCTCATGGGTAATTATCATTGCCACATACATGCCGTAAGTTGTAACTTGTTACAACCGGTCATAATGGTTATATGTGAACACTTCCAACAAGTTCATTATCTAGATGTATACAGAAAAAAAAAGTTACTCAATTGTGAACAAAACAAAAAAGTAATTATCTTGATAAATCAATTTCCAAACAAAAAAATATGTCTTAAAAAAATTGAAAGGAGAATGTTGTAATAAAAGTAAATAAGATTGAGATGCTATAATAAACAAATTATTAATGAAAGTACATTGATATTGTTCACATTTAGTAAAAATTATACACATGCATTGATCTTACATAAGTGTAGTTAATTCTAAAAAGTATCTAAATCCAAAAATACCGACCAAAGTATTTAGTTATTTGTCAAGTAAAAGGTGTTGTGCGATGCTGGATGTGGTGATGATATCTTCGGCTTAGGTCTTGCGCTGGTAGACTTTGCCAATGCCTTCATTCCTCTGCAGTATTTCATGTGGCTGTGAAGCTTCTCTGGATTGAACTGCCTGCCGCACTGCCTGCATTGATGACATCAAATGTACAAAATTTCAAGTATAGTACAGAAGTCTAGTGCAGTCTCATGGTTATGGAAATTGGTACTATTCAGAAGATTAAATACTTCTTATGTTAAAAGGTACTTCGTGGGGTGAACAATGACTATACATACACTTCTTGTATAACTTTGACTACTTAAAGTCAAATATATATACTAATTTTCAGTTTTATACACATATGGTCTATATACCTACGAAATTCAACACCAAGTTCATATCCCTCCCCTTTTTGCAATGAAATCACATGGGTTTTAAGGGTTTCTCAAAATATCTTCACAATTAATTCCATGTTAACTTTAAGACATAAAGGTAGTGTTTAATTTGGCCACATAAATCAATCCACAATATACAAACAAAGTGAACTTACGAGCAATTCGGGCCATTAATAGGCTTATGATTAGCAGCTCCCGAGGTTTTGATGTTGTTGGACTCCTCCTTCTTACTCTTCTTTGATCCGTTTATCCCATCAAAACTTTTCTCGTAACCCTTATACTTCTGTTCTTTACTTATTTGCCCCAAGTTATTCTCAGAAACCGAAGTTACTGTAGAAGTCCTACCACTTTTCCTTTTGTTGATCGCCACCACAGCCTTTTCGTCCGTGTTAGCAGTCCCACAAGTGATCCAGTTCCGCAACATATGTGATGCTCGTGAGCCTGAAAAACGACCTGATTTTCCAAACAAATAGGTTGGTAATGCAGAAGCTTTCAAACAACTGTTTACACTTTTATTCCCACCTTTCTTGTGTTTATCGTTATTACTGTTGTTGCTGTCATCTGTATTCTTGTTGAAGAACATCTTGTTCAGAGAATTATTCTCATTTTTGTCTTTTGGGCTTTGTATTACTTCTTGGTCTTCAGATGTATCTTGGTTCTTTGTTGTGTCTTCGGTTGTGACGTTTGAGACAAAGGAAGATTCTTCTATTTCAAAGGACGTATCTATTGAGAAAACTAGAGGATCTTCTTTCTCTGTTGAAGGGTATTTTGGAGATTTGACATTTACTTCAAAAGTTGGCGAGTTTTTCAGGTTAAAGACTTCTTTCTCGTTGTATGGATTAATATCTGTGAATTAACCAGACACCGAAAATGAGAAGAAAAGAAGCAGCTTCGTTCATAACTCATTAATACTAGTATTTCGTGTTTCATTCTATGGATCATATATATTTATTTTTTTCTTGAACCAAAAGAGTATGTGTTTTTCTGTAGTTAAGTGCAAATGGTATTTTTGAGATTGGAAATATTATGTAAGTTATTAAAAGTAAGATAAAATTTACCATTATTTAATGTTGTTGAGGAGATTTCTGATCCTTTCAGAACATATTGATTGTCACAAATAGGGGTAATGAGATCGTCATCCAGTAGGTCTTGCCAAACGTATCCCCCTTTGTACATTCTGCGTTGTTTAAATAAAAACAAATTGAATAATAAATGAATGATTGTTTTAGTTTGATAATTATTATTTTTCCTTTAAACAATTATTAATATATTTTTATTTTTTTTAGACGGCATTAATATTTTTATATAACTTCAAATTAGTATATGTCATTTTCGAAACCTTAATGAAGAGAATCCAAAACATTATTACAACAAACCAAGCTTTTTTTATTTTGACGTACTAGCTAAAGTAACTGATAATGGAACCGATAGTTGTTAGCCGAAACGTTAGTTTCTATCTAATAAACTAACTGGTAAAAAATAACGTTTGTTAAAACCTAGCTGATAAGGCAGCTTAAAAATATAAAATGACATAAAACGACATTTAGAAAAATATGTTTTTATAATTAGTTAAGGGTATGTTTGGAAATTTTTAAAAAAGATTGTAAAGGGCCAAAAATGACAACTTAAGCAATTTTTTGGTTTTTCAAACGTTACAACTTAAAAAAACTCGAAAAATAAGCTAGATATGATGAGCCAAACTCAACACATTTAACAGTTATATAATTATTTGTTTTGGAAGTAAGAACATGCACATACTTTTTTTATTGCTCCTACGATGTCAATTACATGTGAAAAATAAATATAATAACATTACATAAAAAAAATAATATTATATTTGAAAAACCTCTAATTATAGAACTTGCTAATTAACATGTTTGTTGAAAAAGCTTTGTTTTGAAAAAAAGAATCTTCAATAGATCTAGCTTTTACAAAATTTAAGTCTTGAGAAAAACTCCACAAAAACCCATATGGTTATGACAGTGTACTAATTAATTAATCACACGTGTTTATTACATACAACGGTTACTTAATAAATAAATAACCAAATCGATGTCCGCTTTGGCCTCTTTGTTTGAAATGATTCACTAATTTGTATAGAAATAAGAACGAACCTCTTATATGACCAAGCAAAACGCTCTGGCATGTCTTCTCCTCTGAGTTCTGATAACCAACTTTTAACATCTACAGAATTATAGTAACTTTTCAATAATCATTAAATTATAAGTTAAGACATTACGAATATTCCATCATCCATTTTTATATATTCTTTTGTAATAGCACGCCTTAAAGAATTTTGAGTAATAAATTGGAAGAAAGTGCACAGCTACACAACGTAGTATATATTATGCATTATGCAACCGATGCATCTTAAAATACAATGTTTTGTTTATGAATTACTGACCTCTTAAGTAAACTCCATGATATGAGACTTGGTGGATGCGCATGAGATGGGGTTGTTCGATACCACCATTACGGCTAAGATAATATACAATATGAACTCTCCTTACTTGACCACCACCACCACCACCACCACCACCGGTGAGTTGTGCCACCATCAATTTTCTGCAATGGGGAGGGCCAAGGCAAGACAACAACAAGAATCCACACTTCCCTATTAGAAAAAAGTTAATAAAAATAACAAGAAAAGCTAGAAGCCATATAGTATGGAAAGGATAATGTCGTTTGCCGGCCAAAAAAAGACAGAATTATGAAGTCTTAGGTAGGCAAACATAGATTTAAGAAGGATCTTCTCTTCATACGAGATAAATTCTTTTCACACTAAAAGACGTATGTGACAAGACGAAGAAAGCACCAAGCTCATTGCCCAATCGTTATCTTTTTTATAAATAATAATCTTTGCCCCAAGTTTAATACGTCATACAAGAAAGGTTGATCTAAATTAGCGGCACCCTCTAATGGCCTCTATACGAGTCAAAAGCATTCTAGAGAGTTTAATATTTCTCAAAATATTATTTAATTAGTAGTATGGTATAAGATATTCGAAAAAAAAGCTCGTAACTTTCTTGAGTATCTACTGTTTTTCCATTTTTTGTAATTTTTTATCCACTTTTACTCCAAGTAAGTTTATAATTAACCCCAAAAATATTTATTATTAACCTTTCTTTGAAGTTTTCAATCTTTTAGCAACAGACTTGATAGTTGATACAGTTAAAAAAAACCATCCACCATTAACTTTGTTAATATTTGATTTAATTATTGCTGATACCTTAAAGATTATAGATTTAATGCCATATTCAATTCCGTTTGTAGAAAGCCAATGGTATACAGTCTGTAACTCTAGTTAAAAAAAGAAAAAAAAATAAGTTAATCTAGTGTTGATCGCATGTTATGAAACATTTCAAAATGAATTTGATGTTTTAACGAGGTGGCTTGCTCAGCTCTCCAAAAAAAAATGAAAAATGAAAAATAAATAAAAATCATATTTGACCTTTTGAAGCTACGTTTATTTGCAAAGGTCAGTTCTGCCATGGTCAGCTTCACTGGTTACCAGATTAACCTTCTCTTTTTTTTTTTTCTTTTTTTCTTCCTGCATATGGTTACAACTAATTTTCAATCCAACAAAAATATATACAGAGGGGTTGTTTCACAATTAAACTTATTTTACTTATGATCCAAGTTCAATAATTGAAAGTAAATACAAATACCTACACATCAAACATTAAACATTCATCAAGAATGAAACAAAGGAAGAAGGAAATATACCAATGATATTTGAACGAATGGACGACAAAAGTCTTACCTTCTCAATCCCCAGCCTCTAAACAATCACAATCACTATTACACGATCAACTCTAATATTGAACGGAAAATTTATGTTTGGAAGAAGCTTAATTAAGTATGCTTATATATATGCACAGATAAGAACATAGAATTAGTTGTGGGGTTTGATCAAGACAAAAGAGGGTTGTCAAGATGGTGAAATCCACGCAGTTTGTAGAAAAGTCTGCGTGCCGTTTCAGCCCAGATGATTGTTTATAAGCTGGGTTTCGTTTTGAAGGCAATTGAAAACCAAAAAAAGAACATGTAACCCATGAGTCATATTTACTATGTAATTTATATATTTTATTATTGTTGGATCTTTGATCCGTAACTATTATATTGACAAGTTTTAAGCATCTGACGTCCTCCGTGCCAAGATTTTGAGGTTAAAAATATGAATTCATTTCTATTTGTCAATTTTAAAATTATATAAACTCTAGTTGCTAAGATTTTTCTTAAGATAATGTAGATTACATAATATCTTCATTGAATTAATATGGGTAAACTATTATATTAATATACAATATTAAAAAAAACCGTACCATCTAAACGACCCACGTAGAACCCCGACGGCCCATCACATGGGTGATCAATCGTAGAGCATTAGCAGGAAATCCGGTGTGGAATTCTAGATATCATCTGCCCGCTAGACACCCGTCACATATAGGAATTAATATGTAGTTTCATTGACTTATATCAATATTGATGTACATGAATTCATATAGATACTGTTTTTCTGAATTCTAAATTACATGATTAACGTCCAAAACTTTTTTTATATCTCTTATTCTATTTTAATAAAAGAATATGTTTATTTTTTTTTGTCATATGTTAATCCTATTAGGCCTCATATTTAATGTTATGCCACTTGTTAACCTATTGATTTTCTATTTCATGTATTTATTTAAATCAACGATTATAATTTCACTATAAGAATATCACCCTTTAACGGCGACACTATTACCGGCGACGTGTAATTTTAGCGGCGACAAATGCTAGAGTCGCCGCTAAAAGTATACGTCGCCGGTAATAGTGTCGCCACTAAAGGGTTATCACCCGAATCCGTGTTTTCCCCCTCTGTTACATCTAAGCCGTTCGATCAAATATCCAATCCAACGGTTGGGGTACCCTTATCCGCACTAACCTAATACCGGCGACATATGTGTCGCCACTAAAAGGTAAAAATGTCGCCGCTAATAGTTAGCTGAAAAATGACGCGGTACCCTTCCCTCCAGTTTGTCGCCGCTATTGACCATTGTCGCCGGTAAAACTCTTATTGTCGCCGCTAAATGTGTCGCCGCTAAAGGCTCTCGCAGATTAAAAAAAACGCACGCAGTTTCTTCATTTCTCCATTCTGCTTTCTGTTTGCCTTCATTTCTTCCCAGTCGCTCTTTCAGCTACATCCCGAGTTTGTCTTCAATTAGGTTGTTCCAACTACATAACTCCCCACATTGTGTGAGATTAAGGATCAAGGGGTGGTTAGGGCTTTTGGGACCGATTTCTAGCTTCATTTCTTGAAGAAAGGTTAGTTGATTTTGTTGTTTCCTTTTTAATTTGTGTGTTAATTTCGATTTGTAGCTGCATTTGATGATTAAATGACAATAAATTGTTCAATTTCTTGTTTTTGGTGATGTTGTCTTTGGATTAGAAAAAAAAATGAATTTGATTGTTGTATTGCTTCCACTGCTTGTAGTTTAGCCTTTAGGGACATTTGGTGATTATTAAGAGCTGAATTTGATGATTAAATAGCAATAAATTGTTCAATTTCAGTGTTTTTGGTAGTGTTGTCTTTGGGTTTACCGATGAGGGTATTTTCGGGTGAAGACCAATTTTTCGGGCTACATATCCGTTGATTTCCGCCACTACAAGTTCTATTATTTTATTTTTTTTTGTGAATTTGGTATTTGTATGTGAAAATTGCAATATGTGAAAATTAGATTGTATATTTGGTATTTGTATGAATATATGTGAATTTGGTGTATATATGCCAATGTATGTATGTTTGATGTATATGTGGTATATGAGTATTTGGTAGAAGTATATATATGATGTTATTGTGTGTATGTGTGTATGTGAATGTATGTATGTTTGTTGTAAATGTGATATATAATTGTGAAATTTTTGTATTTGGTATAAATAAGATGTTATTATCTATATATGTGAAAGTATGTTTATTTGGTTTAAGTAGGATGTTATTTTGTGTGTATGTGAATGTATTTGTATTTGTTGTATATGTGGTATATGTATGTGAAAGTATGTGAATTTTCATGCTCTTGTGTATTATGTGAAAAAGTATGTGGTTTTGGTATAAGTATGATGCTATAATTGAAAAAAAAAAATTATTGTTATAATTGGAAAAAAAACACAAAAAAATGTTATAAAATTGTTTAAAAACTTATATACGAATACTAGAAAGTTTTTAGTTTATTCCCAAACTAACCCCAAGTTAACCAATAAGTTCTATAGTTAACTAATAATCTTCAACTTAACTTATAATCTTGCAACATATTTATACAATGTTATAAATAAAAAAATATATTTTTTAATATCGACGGTAAAAATGAACAACACAACAACATAATATAATTGTTTAAAGTACAATGCTATAATTGAAAAAAAATGTTATAAATAAAAAAAATATAAAAAGATACAATAGTGAGAAATGTTTTTTTTATGGATATACCAAATTATTAATTTTTCTTTATTTAATATTTTATTCATTAAAAACTAATTGCTAAACATATAAAAATAAATCATTGTTATAGTTTTAAAAAAACACAAAAAATGTTATAAAATTTTTTAAAACCTTATATATGAATACTAGAAAGTTTTTAGTTTGTTCCCAAACTAACCTCAAGTTAACCAATAAGTTCTATACTTAACTTATAATCTTCAACTTAACTTATAATCTTGCAACATATTTATACAATGTTGTAAATAAAAAAAATATTTTTTAATCTTGATGGTAAAAATGAACAACACAACAACATAATATAATTGTTTAAAGTACAATGCTATAATTGAAAAAAATGTTATAAATAAAAAAATATAAAAAGATACAATAGTAAAAAATGTTTTTTTATGGATATACTAATTGCTACATTTTTTAATTTAATTTTTAAAATTTTTAAATTTTTAAATTTTTTTTACTCTTTTAATTGTAAAAAAAAATGTGGATTGGAAAAAAAACAATGCTAATTCTATATACTAAACTCTAAACCCAAAATTATGTTTCAGCAACATCATGTCTATTGATAAAAGCTGGACTACTAATCCATATCGAAACCATCCCGAGTTCCAAGCAGGACTCAAAGCTTTTATCGAGAAGTCCAAGTCACACTTTGATAGTAATGGTAAAATCAGATGTGCGTGTGAAAAATGTGATAACCGTTACTTCAAGTACCCGCCAACTGGTAAAATCAGAAGTCCTAGAGTCATTGTTGATGTAGAAAGTGCAACTGAAGTTCCTCCGCCAACTGGTATAGTCAATGATGTTTCTGATTGCGAGACTGATTACGATGAGACCGATTCTAACAATGTACTTTGTTTTTTCATCTTAGTTTAAAAATAGCAATCTACTTTATCATCGTAAAATGCATGTTGATTTGGTAATTTTGGTTTTGTGGTGATTATTTGCTAAAAAGTTTGGTAATTAGGTTTTTGTCCCAAGTGCAAAAAATAACAACGTACTTTGGTTTTTTGTCTTAGTTTAAAAATAACTATGTATTTTGATAGTTTTTGTTTATTTTTGATAATTTAACTTATAAGTTTATAT